ATTTGGTGGAGCCATGACTTTTGGAGATGCTTTGACAAAGCCTCACCTAGAATAGCTAGTAGTCCTTGTTCTTCCTCATTCAGGTCAAGGACTGAAAACCAGGTGTTTCACACTCTACTAAATGACTTTACCACAAGTTTTTCTTTGTCTTTATTGAGTTTTTGGGATTCCCTCAGCTACCTCTTTTGCTCTGCAACTTCCTAAGTGCTTACAAATAGTTAGCTGTTCGCTGGCCTGGGGAAAGACCAATACAAAAGTTCAATGGGCAGTCCAAGTTCAAGCCCTTGTTCCAAGCAATGTTTAATTATTTATACAAAGTGAAAGAGGTTCAGTGGGAGCTGTTCTTCAGAATAACTTGATATATTGGTGGTCAGAAAGCTTGTCTGATACTCAGACATCCTGCAGAACAGAAACTTGAAATGCAGACTGCCACCAGACAGTGCCCTGATCATAGGATGATTATCTAGGAGGACTGGCAGTTTTCTTGCTCTTTGATGTATTTCATCTTAGGCATGAGAATCTTTCCCAGGTAAAAGCTTCATAAGGAATTGTAAGTACTTGCAAAAAGTCTGATCTCAGGAGAATATAATTTCTCAGTGAAAAAATGTGTCACTGTAAACTCCAATGGGGACATGACCAGAGTTTTCACGACTTTGTAGGTTCAGAGTGGTTTGTCCACTGTGATGATCCATCAATGTCCTGTGTTTGAAGGAATGGTCAACAAGCAGTGCTGGAGGGCATGAGTCTCAGGAAGCCTGCAGAATGCCAAAGCATGTCTGCATAAGTGTCAGACTTGTAAATCAGATGTTGGTACAAAAGTTTAACAATAGGGAAATGGTCACATACAAACATTGGTTTGGGGATTAGGCTTATGAGTCTGGCTGCTTTTAAACACTTCAGCTGACATTGATATGAAACCAAGGCATAAAACCAGGAGCCTGACGTGATCTGTTGCCAGTTGCCTTCAAATTACTATGTCGGATGAGGGAAAAAAGAGGAAGTGAATGGAGAAATGGAACAGGTCATCTGGACTCTGATAATTAATGTTGCCTAGAAAATAAAAGTTTTGAAACTTTCCTGGAAATGAAGTTTTATGATCTTCTACAATAGTCCACAGGGGGAATGCTGCAATCTACACATATTGACAACTGTGGTATTACCAGACAATTAATTTTTATGAGTAATTTCCAGAGCAACCCTCATCCGTGCAGTCATGCATAGAGTGCAACAGGGTGCCACAGAAAAAAGACTCAGCTAAAGGCCAACCATTATACAGATTTATTAATATTTGCAAAATGATCTTAACAGCAGAAAGCACATTGAGCAACAGAGCAGGGAAGAAGGAATGGACTTGACCACAAAGTGAGCTTTGTAAGGATGTGATCCAGAGTGTGCTGAACTCTACAGAAAGATTTCTGTTGATTTTTTTAGATCTTGGATAGATCTCAAGAGAAAAGAGATGCTCCATCTTATACCTTTCTTTCTCCTTTTTCCATCTGAATGGAAAATACATTCTTGTTCACAACTGGTGTCCTTTAGTGACTGAGAAGTAAAGCAAAATGTTGATCATACTTGGGATGTTAGAGCCAAGAATCTCTACTTAAGCAGCCCTAGAAGTGGCTCTCCAAGGGCTAAGCAACTGGAAAATTCTCTCTAACAGTATCTTCATATTTTTATTAGACTCAGAATAGTCTTATCCTGTACTTAACTTTGCAAATGCATTTTGCTTTCTCATTTAAAACACGGAGAATCGCGGAGTAGTTGAATTTATAATTCCATTTCTCTCAAATCCTCCTCCATAAACACTCTACTTGTACAGGTAATGACCCAGTTAGTTGTCTTCTATTTATGTCTAGTCTAAGTAGTAATAGCTGTTACTTTTAAACTGCTATTAAATACTTCAGTAGTTTTTAAACCATGCCAAGGAATACTTGCAATAGAAGAACAATGAACAGAGATGACTGGAAATGAAGTTGTAGAAGTGAATTTGTTTATACATCATTCAGAAGAAAATAATAGTTCTGTCAAAGTCCCTTTTAAAGGCTGCTAGAGAAAATGATATACTTTGCACTAAGTGAGTCTACATAGATCATGAATTATGGCCCCATGTGATACATCTCCAGTATCAGCTTGGTTATCTATTTTCAAAATTTTTCCTTGTATGGGAACAAAAGTTTGCTGCCTGATATAAGAAATGTTCGACAAATTCATCCTGCTGTGACAGCTACTCTTATTTCATCCTACACACTGAAGAACATAATTTATCTTAACACTGAGCATTGAGCAAGCCTAGCTGTGGGGAAGTAGTACTACTAGGGTTTCCTTTTACTGCTGAACTCAATTGAAATCTGCAGTCAAGCCAAGCCTGGTTTAAGTACTCTGTTGGTTATTTTCTTTAACATGGTGTGAAAGACCAAGGCTGGTTTATTGCAATGGATGGATAAGTTACCAGCAAGACATGCTGAGTTGAGGAGTTGGTGACAACACAGAAAGAGAAATTGGCATTACTTCCCATCGCTTTGGAGATACAAGAATAAACTTCCTTACAGACAAAACCAGAACATTTTCAGTGGAGAATGCTCAAGAGAGAGTCCTACTGTTTGGTGGATCACAGCCTTCCCAGTGTCCAGCAGATCAGGAGTGAACACTTCCAGGTCCCTAAACACAAGCCCCTCACCTTGCCCAGGATGCACAAGATTGGAGTGCTTGCTTCTCATCCTCTTCTCAATTGGTTTGCCAGCTGTGTCAGAAAGTCCAAATTCCGTGGTCCAAGGATTTACCCATTCCCTTCACTAGCACTGAAGGTGCTGGCTTTGGTGGTTCACTCTGTGTGGCTTCCTTGAGGATCCTGTAAGGCAGCATCAGTGGAGACAGTTGTCCTTCTCCTGGCCTAAACACATACCCCCCCCCCCCAAACAACAGGCATTGGCATATCGTTCTGTAGGGTGATTCTCACCTCAGGGGCACAGCACCAACACTGTCTCAAGCCTTGCAACAGAGCAGAAAATGTGCAATAGAACTGGATTAAAAGAGCAGAAATGAAAAAAAAACCTGCAGTTCTCTGCTGTTACAGCACTGGACACTGAACAGTATTTCCAGTCTGAAGTTTGTCAAATGATAAAGCACAGATAGTGCATTCGGAGTTATCAGTTTAACTTCTGACCCAGACCTCCCTGAGGACACTGGGAATCCTTCTGGGTTTGATAAGCCACAATAGAGGCTCTTTCCTCAAGGACAGGTAAACACATAGTCATTAACAGTCAGGTTGTAAAGGAGAACTGAGCTTACCCAAGGACTTGTTTGCTCAGGTTCATCCTGCACTATCAACTTGAGCCCATCTGTGAAGATCCCCTGCAGGTCATGCATTTTGCCCTCTTTGTCTTGCTCTTCAGAATTTGTTTTAGCAAGTTACCTGTCCACAAATAGATGTGACAGAGTGGATGTTTGAAAACCTGGCTCTGTTCACTCTGTTGGTGTCACAGCAGATCTAGTTTGTTTACCAGGAAGCCCCAGTGTTATGACTTGAGGAATGAAGGGGACACAGACTTTATTTGTAGAAAGTATTTTAAAAATTTGGCATGTTACCACAAATAACATCAAGATGGAAAATCCTGATTCACAAACCAGGATTCAAAGGTGAATATGAGTGTTTTGGGCAGAGACACATACTTAATCCATGTTGTGGAGCAACGAGCCCACTAGCATCCTAAGCATGGTTAATATGGAGAAGTGATGATAATGGAAAACATGATATAGTTCTATGTCTATGAAAAAAATAGTAGATTTTTCTGTGGACCCAGTCCAAACACTACTGGAGCCTCCAGAAAAAATACCCCACAAAACCACACAGAAACAAAAGGTGCTTTTCTATGCTTGCATACCAAGGCAGATGTATATTGGTTTTGCTTTTAAACATGAATCTCAGGGTGTATACAGACCCATCCAGCACATGACTACACAATTGATGTGTACATTTCTCCTTTTTCCATTCTCATGAAAAGGTTCATCAAGGCTGTGGAGATGTTTGATATTCCTGGTGAGACGAGGTCAGTGCCCCTCTCTTGGAGCTGAATCATGTGAAGTGGAAGCTGAAAGGGGACAGAGGGCATGTGAGAGAATAGGTACTATTTTTAGCAGAGAGACATTTATCAGTAGCCCTGGTATAACTGGAAATCTGCGGGAAGAAGTCTCTGTTGGGAACATGATTCACAAAACAATATGCAGAAGACATGTGGAGACCTGCAAATATCAGGCTCCCCTATGGCCATGCCACTGACACCTGTTTGCATTTGGATTTTATTGTACTTGTGTGCCAGTATGTCAGACTTAATAGCTTTTCCCTTGGTCTTGTAGCAGGTAGCACAGATGGTGACTTCTCTTGTGTGTTTTGCCCTTTACATTTGTTTCTAGTGACCACCTGACCACCTTCATTGAGGTTCTATTCTTTTCAGAGAGCTATTGATTATATGCTTTGTGGGGATCTGGTGTAAAGGGACACCAGATTATACATTTGTGTATAAGCCATCATGGGCTCTATTTTTATCAACCTGAGCAATTGTTGCTTAGAAAAGGAGACCTCTACTTCCCCGGCTGTGTGTGGTTGACCTCGGTTAGTCCGAACTCCTATGACCTCAGTGCAGCTTAAGCGATGTGACAGCCGAGTCAGCCCCTTTAATTCCAGTCTTTGTGAGGCTCATGTGATAATCATGCACTTGCTCTGTCAGAGGAACCGGCAAAGAGTGATTCTGTCTGTACTTGCTCCCTGCAGCAGACCTCTTTCTTGCCTTCTCTCTTCAACCAGATTCCTTTCATTTTGTTGATTCTATTCAGGAACAAAGAGGACTTTGTTGGATTGTCTTTGTGGTTTATTTTCCTGAGCCTTGGAAGATAACAGACTTTTGCCACTGTTTTATTCAACCCTTTATCACATGCACAATACCCTGAATGTTTAATGGAGGCTACTGTGTGTTAGCCTAAAACTATCTGAATTTTTTTTCCAGGTTGGAAGCCAAGGCTGACTTCTGGATGCCAAGTTAGGAATAATGGCTGGAGTAAAAACTCAGGGAGGGGTCTGTCCACGCAGCTGCAATAAAAGATTCAGTCAGAGGAGCTGCAGTCATCAGTAGATATAATTTTGTTTTTCATGTTCTCTGGTCTAACCAGGCCCCACTGTCTACACAGAAATCTGTTTCTTTACAGGTGTAGAACACGTCTTCATCAAACAGTCTTTGGGCACATGTTCAAAAAGAGGTAAAAAGGCATTTGCTGGTCACCACAGCTGTTAATAGTTAGCAGCTTTTATCTGAGCCTGTAAAAGTGTTTTCACATGATAAACTGCTACAGTCTGTACAGATGCAGAAAGACAATTCAGAAGGACTCTAATTTATAGATTTTACCATAAAAGTCTTCTCCATAACTCAGGACAAGTCGGTAGTGTGGGGAAGACTAAAAAGAGCAGCTGACTCTAATCCTTTGCACTGTCCCAGCTGCTTTTCACATGGCCTGCCGCTCTACCAATTCCCATCACAAAGCTCTCAATGTGGTTTTTTTTATTTAATGCATCAAAATGTTCTTTTTGAACCATGGAAAATGTAGCACTAGTCAAGGCTGCCCTTGAGTGATAGCTCTATCTATTTTGTCTATTGCCAGAAGGACACAGTGTGGTCCTGCAGAGTCTCTGGACAAGGTAGTAACAGAGAGTTGCTTCATCAAAGCTCTTCCCACGAGGGATGAGATCTATAATCTTTGTTTTTAGTGGAACAGACTAACATCTCTGAAGGCGTAGTAGGCGTCAAAATACAGTGCTTCTGAGCTCTGTATGCAAAAGGTCAGGCAGTGTTTAATCCTGGGGGTGACCTCATGGACCTCGAGGGAGTTTCATCAAGGATGTACTTAGTCTGTATTTTGCAATAATCTGAAGGAAATAAGCTTGGTATTTCAGAGATAGAACTCACAAGCAGTACCATTCCAGTCACCCAACATGCTTTGTAAATGGGATTTCTGTGACTGTTTATTTCTAGAAAAGTCTCATTTTCAAAACTGAAACTTTCAGCCCTTACTTTTGCAAAAATTGCACAGAAACCAGTATGAATACTGCCTAGAGCAGAGTGAAATAAAAGCTGGAGGATCTGGTGCTGTGTTATTTGGCTCGTGCTGCAAAACTTCAGCAAATTTGTCTCTAGTGAGCAAAGTGAGCAGTTTTGACAGCTTTTATTATATTGAATTACAGTGACAAATAGGGGCATTGGTTTGTAGAACATTTGAAAGCGTGATAAACACAGTCCTAATGAGAAAGATGTTTCTTTTTATTTGACAGAACACCACTGTTTTTTCTCATGCATACAAGTGCACCAACAAAAATAAAAGACCTGGTTATTTGAGGCAAAATTCCTGAAATATTATTCTCTAAATCTCTAAGCTTTCACTTATTACTTTTTATTCCCAGAAGTATTTGATGATTTTACTGTCAATAAAATTTTAACAGTGATAAAACAAAATTGTTAGTTCAAAAATAGAGTAACACAGTGTTTTCTTATGAATTTAAGTATGAATTTAAAATCAAACATACTTTTCAACATTAAAAATCTTATTGTTCAGAGGATAAATGGTGCTTGTAGTGAGGGCATTGCTCTTATATCCCTTATACAGTTACAGTCTTTGAGTTGTTTAACTCCAGTTTCACCCACCATGATGCTATTTGAACTTTGAAGTCTGAGTGAGTCTAAGTGAATTTTGAGCCAAGTGAGCAACTTGTACTACAGAAGACAATAATTTTGTGTCCACATGCACATAACAGTTGTCGCAGGCTCACTGGAGAGAAATCTGTTTGGAAAGCAGCTAGTGTTATGGGTGCTGCTAAAAATAGCAACAATAGCAAGATAATTTTGCTTATTCACCAATAATGACCACAAGTGAAGTAATTTTGTCACAGCTGTTAGGGATTCAATCACTTCTAACAAAGGTATTTAGTCCAGGATGCTGGCATTTTACATGAGTGGGGATTTGGCTGAAAACTGTTCAGTGCTTCTGTCTGTTGTATTTCTAAACTTGCATCTATCTCTGTCCAATCTAATACCTTCTCTGGACGTGAGGAGTTGCAGAGAGCCTGTGCAGATTCATTCTGTTGTGCTGGTTCCCACACACAGACCCATGTATTCCATCACCTGCTTTACTTTTGATGTGGCATTAAAATGGAACTAGGAGGTTATTGCTGTTCAGACAAGTGTACTCACACATTCGAGCCCTCTCCACAGCTACACTTGTCTTCACATGTGCATGTCCCTGCCAGCATGTGTGTTCCTTTGGTACTGTGAAGCGATGTTTTTCTAATTTTCTGAGGAATTTTCAGGAGACTTAGCTGAGCCGTGTCTCTGCTGGCTGAGCTTTTTCCTTACTTCTTATTTACTTTTCACTTGCCCATTCCTCTCCATCCTCCCTGCGTGCCTGCCTCAAACACTGTGCAGCCTGCTGAGATCAAGCCCATGAGCTGCCCCGGGCAGGGACATTTCTTCCAGTGCCTCCTGACAGCGATGCCTGTTCTCTCCAAGTTCATCAGTCCAGGAACTCGCTCTGTGTGTGTGGATGCAATGGGGTGCAGTACCAGCTGAGAGGGAGCTGCCAAGAAAGCCACAGGAGCAGAATGCATATGGAAATGAAGCAAGATATGACAAATCTGCCACTAGGGCAGCCTCAGCTCACCCAAACCGTGCTGAGCAGAGGCATGGCTGAAGGACTTTTTCATGTGTTGTCACATCCTCAGAGCTTGTTTTACAGAGAACAGACATGCTTTTTATTATCCCGGAAGCCACCTACTGCACATTAACAATTTTCAAACCAGCCTTACTTGGATTCAACAGAATTAGGGATAGGGAAATCCTATTAGGTCCCATTATCATTTGAGCTACCAGAGCAGTATTGTTCTGTATGTTAATTTGCCAAGCACTCTGTTCATGTTTAAATAACTCAGTGAAAAAAACATATAATTATTGTCTGTGCCTCTTAATGAATACTAATGTGTTGGAATAAAGATTTTTAATAATTCTCCTAGAGTTCAAACACCTTCCTGCCTCTTTTTAACCCTTTTCACCATTCCTCCTCATCATGAAGGTCATGTTAATTTTGATGAGGCAGTGGAGGGAGGGTGAAACTATACTGACTGCTTATGTCATATGTCCTTTTGCCATGTTGCTTTTAAACTCCCTTTTGAATCAATTGATTCTCTTAAAACAAAGTGCAAGAGCAGGGTTGTCTCCTGGAACCTCTTCTGAGGCACAGTGAGGAAGGAAATACCTAGTTTGACTTCTTGCATCCAACAAAGACTACTCTCAGTGGCTCCTTAAAGTGATGTTTGAGAGAGTACATTTTCTCCCATGAGCTCCATCCCTTGGAGAGGTAGGAGAGGTGGGAATAAGTGAGCATGACAAGCAGAGAGGAAGTTTATTTGGCTGAGATAGTGTTAGCCTAACGCATTTACTCCCTGTCCAGCAGTCTGGTCTCTTGGCTCACATCCTTGCAGCCCCAGCTCTCTGGGGGACACCTTCCACTCTCTCCCTCTGCCAGCCGTTCCCATCCAAGCCCACCCTGGAAGCTTTCTGACTCCATGGCCGGGGTTTCTGCATAGCTGTTTGTAGCAATGGTTAAAAAAAGAGAGGGAGAACATGGAGATACACTTCAGAGAAGGAGATGAGTAGGCAGAAAAGAAGTGAGGAAGTAATAGCCATGGTGTTGATTTAGAGATCTGGAGACATACAAGTATACTTGATAGTCTTGGAGCTACCTCCCTGGTCTGGAGAGGGACTGAATCTCCCGGTGGCTGGAACAGAAGTGGAAAGAAACCTCTGTACATGCTGTGTGACTGGCAGTGGTGCTGGAAAGAGACACTGCCTCTGAGGGGTGTGTGGGGAGAGAAGAGAAAGACAGACACTGCCAGAATGATTTATTGGTGACCTGGCTTATGGGTGGCTTACTGGTGGCCTGGAACGGGTTATGCAAGAGGCCGCAATGACCTGTCCAGCCTGTCGCCCCAGATTTGTCATGTTGAGGTCAACTAGCAGAACACATGCTCTGCTGAGAGTTCGCAGGCAGCCAGACCCATCCTTGTATTGATACAGTGCCCGAATCTCTGTAGGAGATTGTAAGTAGAGTTTGCCCACGTGCCGAAAAGTGTTATGTTGCCAGTATCTGAGATAGGAAGAGAACCCTAGCTCCCATACCACAGAGCAGTGTTTCAAATAGCTGCTCTTTTGCGGGTGTCTGGTGCAGCTGCTGGTTGTCTCTGAGCCTTCTGTTTAAGGCTCAGAAATGGGAAGAGTGGAAATCTGTTTGCTTGAGGTATTTCTGGAAGATACTAAGGAGTTTCATTAGCTTGCTTGGATATCTGGAGAGTGCACATTGGGCAAACACTTGTATCAGCCTTCTGGTATTTTCAGTGGACATATTGCACGAGCAGACCAGCTGGCAAATCGCACAGACCTCTATCACACTCATGCCCATGACCGGTAATAGCCAGCCTTGAACAGGTTGTCAGCAACTGGTGAGAACTTTGAGTGGTAAATCCCTCTAAGGCAATTGCAGAAGTTTTCTCTTTCACTACAGGTTTCTAGAAGGGGAACTGCAGGAAACTCTGAAGTTGGTCTGATATATGAAGTGTTGCCTCCACTGAGGGTGATCCTAGATACAAAGAACAAGCTCTTCCAGGAGAGAATGGTCTCTAGACCTCACCTCCAGTGAGCATGAAGAGACTGACACAAAAAGCAGAGGGTACACTGTGTCCCATGTTGGTTCCATCAACCTGGGATAACTGCCCTATCTTTGGCATCAGTCTTGTCTATGCCTTGGAGGTCCATCCGAACAAGTCTGTCCATCTGACACAATGCCTTGACCAAACGGACTGTTTTTAAGAAGGCAGATCTTTTGTTAGGTGGGAGATAGAAGCAAGGTCTGTAGGGATGAGCATGAGCAACTTGCTCAGCAGAGGTGAAACAAGTGGGAACAGTGGTGATGCTGCTGCCACCTACATGTTGGACAATGGATATCAGAAAGCTTAGAGCCTGGCCCACCTTTAATATGCTTGGCATTGATGTGGAGCAAACAGGAGTTGAGCTTGATGTGTGGGTCAAACTGGAGCTGCGCATGGGGTGATTCAGAGGTTGAGGCTCACTCTGGTTGCTCTTTGGTGCAAGTAACCCTGGCCAGGGAGACTTGGGCTCTCTGCATTACTGACACTGAGAGAGGAATATCTGTCCTGTTACACTAACAGGGAATGGATTTGGACTTCCTAAGTTCCAATGTCTCTGTTAGATCCTACTGCAACTCCAACAGTTGAATCTGTTTCTCTTGTTGTACATTACTCTCATCTGGGGAATCCCTCTTTCTCTGTATAAGAAACACAAGAAATAAGCTGTAACAGAATTTATTAAATTATCCAAGAGATGTCGCACAGGAGAGCATCCCTGGAATTCATCCCCTTGTTCTGAGGCAAGATCACACTTAACTAGATGGTCCCTAGGAGAAATTCCTGTAACTCTTCCCCGACACCTCCAGTGATGCACCATCAACTATAAACTGAGGCTGCAATGCTTCACTAACCTTGCACTTCATTTATTTTTGTTCTCCTGACCTCAGTGTATATTTGCTGCAAGTCGAGATTACAATTCCTTGGCCAACTCTTGCTGCATATGGCAAAGATTTCTTTTGGTAACAGCCTTTCCTTCATATTGGACAACTCTTTGGAGGCCTCTTTCTCTCTATCAAGGCTTCTCTTTTGCAAAGCACTTAATCTTCTTGCTGTACTCCACTGGCCTCTCTCTGGCTTCCCTGCACTGCTCTTCTGGTGTGAACTTCGTGTCCCTGTTGACCTTGCTAGCAACTTAGGTCTAACATTTGATGCTTAACACAAACCTAGAAGTGAAGCGACTTGCTCCAAAGATCCTGGCTGAGTTCTAGCATGTGTTTTTCCTAAAAAATAATAACTCCATGGGGCTTTGGTGACCCTTCTGTAAGACCTGGGGAAGGCAGTGCTGGCCAAGGCCTGGGGAGTTCTTCTGTGGCACGTTGGCCCTCCCTGCTCCATCTGCTTTCTATTGCGCTTGAAAAGGAAATGAACTGAGTGAAATGATTTCAAAGTGACATTCTCCACTCTGCACTCTAATTCCGTAATTGCCAGCTCCATGCAGTTCCCAGTATTAAAACATTTAAAATAACAACCTTTGAAAAGAGCCAAAGCTTCGAAAGGGCCATGCACCACCTCTGCTGGAATAGTAAAATGGTGGCAGAATAATTTCCACATGCAGTGGATGGGTGTTTGGTTATTCGAGAGTTGAGCATAGTTTCTTCCTTTGCCAGGAATTTCGTTAAGTCAAGAGTCAAAATTGCTTTTTTCCTTTGTGAACTCTTTTAAACTTTGTATTGACTGATATATCAGCTGTGGTTTGTTATACTGTTGACCCCTCAACCTGGCTGGTGCAAATTTTTGAACAGCAAAAGAAGGTTTTGATTTTTTAATGTGGACTACCCTGTGTCTCTGTATAGAGAGGGGTGAAATAAAGTTTTACTCTCTGCCCTTTGATCTGATTCATTTCCCATGTGCAGTTCTGCAAGTGCCTCTGTAGCAATGATAGCACTGACTTGGTTTAGTCTGACACCCATTAACAGCATCTTCAGTGTTATGTAACATCTGGGACAAGAAAGACAATGCTCAGGCAGTTGGCAGTGGTCAGCCACCAAAGATTTGTTGGCCAGGGGTGGTTTGTACATCACAGCTCAGGAACCGCTGGCTGGGAGACTTCAGCGCAAGACTAATTGCAATTTTTCCCAATTTTTCCTAAACCATTAGCTGGTTTGTGTTGCATTCATTCTCTAATGCTATCTCCATTTGCTCCATGCACACCTCATATTTTTCCCTTCCCTTGTGTTTCTGGTGAGATTTTTTTTTTAATTCTTGAAATCTACCTCTGAAGCAGTTCTGCATTTTTGGCATAATGTATCTACCAGCACGATTGACTTTGCTCTATAGTATTCAGTCCACTTCTGGAACTCATCAAGTTATTGTAAAGACTCTTGTATGTATTCCATTAAATGAATGTGCATCTTGCCATACCTTTAAACAACCCTTCTGTTGGTTTTGACAGAGAGAATTCAGCTTTTCTCTTAAAGAAAAAAACTACCAGAATAAAAATAGCAAGCAATCTTTTCAGCGACGAACAGTCAGAATTTATGTTCTCATTGTGCACAGCTCTGAGGACGTGATGATTCCATTCAGCTGAGCATCAACAAGATCAAAAGACTTTACTGAAGTGTAACTGTCACTTTGATCAGAGAGATGTATTGGAAACTTAATGAAATGTGTGGTTTCTTTGGACAGTTGCTTCTTTTGACTATTTCTAGTTGTGGTTGTGATACTATGAGAAAATAACCTGACCCTGTTGAATTCAGACACTGTGGTTGGGTTTTGGGTGAGAGATTAGATCAGGCTTTCCTTTTTTCCCCCATAAATACAGTTGCCTTGAATTTTGGCTCAATTCAGCTGATTTCTGAAGTTGAGGGTTTTTTTCCTTTCTGTCCTGATCACAAGTTATTTCATTCATTCCAGATTTTCCAGCTTTCTCAATAATTCTGAAATGGATGCTGTTTCTTAGTGCTGGGCAGACAATCCGATGGCCAAGACCCTAGCCTGAGACTTGGAAAATGTTGGTAGAATTATGTGGAAAAAACTGTCCGTATTTTGTGTGAGGGTTCAATGACCTGAAGTTCAGTTTTGTTGCACTTCCATTATGACTGACTCTATGAAATCACTGTGGAGGCTAGAGAAGACTGTAGGATGGAGTTTGTTGGGAGGTTGACTGCTGGGGTGGAATTGGGGAATGAGTCAGAAATGAACAATGCAGGTCACTCTACAGGATGCTTTTTGACAGACCCTTCCTTTGAATTGTCTCACTCAGATGGTGACTGAATTTGTCTTTGAAATTATTTACCCTTAACTAAATATAAAT